CATTTGGTGATCAGTTAAAACCACTTCGTTACCCGTTTACACAGTAAATCAACAGTAAATGGTAGCCTGCCATGATGTCTATTAAAGTCAGATTAGAAAATTACCTCTAATTATTTTGCAAGAGAAATTATTATTTCTGTGAACTCGTTAATGTGATTTATTCCTGTATTGGTAAAAAAAATGCAGTTACTGTTAAAGACGACTGCAGCTTCCTCACTCACTCGCTTAGGGCTCACTATGGGTTATAATAAGCTTCTGTACTCACTGCTGTCTTGGTCCTCTGGCTCGGTCTCCAGCCGGAGTTCTGCAGATTGGTTCTGCTCCGGGATTCCGAACATCTCGACGGAAAGACCAGACCCTACCAGCCGGTCCGGTACCGACATGGTGTTGAGGTATGACATCCTCTCCTCGCTCTCCGAGAGGCCGGAGCTGATGGGGCTGGGACTGTCCCTGCCGGCCAACATGCAGGAGGGCGGTGAGTGGGAGCGCAGGGGTTTGTTTGGGCCCAGCTGGTGTGACAGTGCACCAGAGAGACCGAAGCAGGAGATCAACTGGAGCTGGTGCTGCTGGGTTTGTTGCTGCAACTCTAATTTGAGGATATCCTTCACAGAAAAAGGTGTGGTGGAAGAAGGTATGACCGGACTGGGAAGCATTATCACCAGGAGCAGAGATACGACAGATAAACGGTCAGTAGTGGGTCCGAAATTGGACCGATTTGTCTCCGGAGAGCGCGTAAAAGAAGTAAATACCCCGTGCGTAATGGTGAAGAATGGTCGCGCTGAGCTTGTTTGTCATGCAGACCGAGAAGGAGGACTGGCTTTCCTTCAGCTGTGACATCCCTCTCTTCTGGCTGATGTGTGTCTATGGCTGGGGAGAGAGAGAAAGAGAGGGAGCAAGAGAGAGAGAAAGAGGTCGATCCTGTTTGGTTGGCTGAATTCAGACGGAGCTGGATCAGCAAAGACGCTGTCCTCTCGCTTTCAGTGACGTCCTGAAGCGAGGGAGGGATTGATAGTGTCTCTCTCTCTCTGGGATATAATAAATAAAATCTAGTTACACCGTCTACACACACCCCCCACCTACCCCCACCTCCCTAGATTTGCTTTCTTTCACCTGCAGAAAACAGAAGAAGCAACAATTAAGTATTTTAACATAATATTAAAAAGTCTATACCCCAAAGAGAAAGTCTTAATTTAATGCATATATTGGTAATTTGTTATATGTTCGGTGACTGGAATAGCATTCGTTTCTTATTTTCCCCTTCCTGTAAGGTCCCAACACTTCATAGCTCTTCCCATCATCACTGCGGTGGTTTTAAGATTACGCATATCTCTCTCTATCTTTCCTGTCTCGGCAATCCATGGATAAGACTGTGGGAAATGAGATAAAATTGGCAATACACAAGAAGCACGAAAAATATGTGATGCTTCTTTGGGTTATTTATGTTTCCCTGATTTGAGAAAGTTGTGCAGGATATTATTTTCAACCCAGATTTGGCCACGTCGAGATTTTCCCTTGACATTAGGTCAGTGTTGCTGGAAAAAAAAAAGCCCTGAGTAAAATATTAATGGAAGTTTAATTAGTTCAAATAATCAGTTTAATGCGCAATAGGTAATAAAGTAATGATATAAAGTTCCCTAATAATAATACATACTATTATAAACAATATTAATGCTTAAATAACTAAAGACAATTGTAATTCAGTTCCAAAATATAATAATGATAATAATAATAATGATGATGATGCCTGTTAAAGCAATTTTACATTAAAAATTGTTGTTCATCAGACATCAGGAAATGTTCTGAAAGTTTGGCGTGGGCCTGTGACCAGATACATTTCTGCTGGTTTCCAATAAATAAAGAATACATATTAACATATGAAACTGCAATTTAATTTTACATTCGCGCCAAAGGGCGAGTCTTGTGAAACGGGACACCTCTGCGATGGTCGCCAATCTGTGGCCAAGTGTAGGCGCCAGGGTCTGAAGGCCCATTGCGCGTAAACCGTGTGTAAAGAAAAGGAGAAGCATGCCGGCATAATCTCATCCGCTCCCCATCAACATGGCGCTGTTTAGATTAGGACAGAGACACCCCCCCACCTCCTCTTTTAGATCTCTGTCTTTTAAAATGGTCCCTTTAAGTGGAGTGTGAAAGCATTGAGGAGGAATTAGGTCTGTGGAGTAAATGGACATTTTTTCCACTCAGCGATTCCACAAAGAGATAAACAGACATTTTGCACCACAGACACAGTTTAAATAGTCTATTATTATAGTTTATCTAGAGCTCTAATTAAAAGGGAAAATTGCTGGTAGTTTTTCCAACGGAATAAGATATTGCACGAATTCTTTGCGTAAAAATGCAATAATCGGATCTAATTCATGTTTATTGAGTGCAATTATTCAAAACAAACCAATGACTTTGGTATATTGATTATTTAGGTCGGAATTGTTACATATAAAAAGTGAAAGTAGTTTAAAGTAAGAAGGTTTATTTGGTTTATTTGAGTCTCAGTCTGTCTGGAAATCCGCTCCTTACGTTCATGTCAGTTCAAATCGTCACGGGTCACAGACACAGTTCACTAATGGCACAATTAGCTCCTCAACCCTAAAACGCGCACTCACGCGCGTGCAGCCTGCATTGACCATCATCGGTGGTCTTCGCGTGCCACCGGCGGCCCGAAGGTGGCCAAGCAGAGACGCGGTGTTTACGCAGCGGAAGAGTCTGTTTCCTGCCTGTAACAAAACCCAGACTCCCCAGTCAGTGTCAAGGAGCTGCTCGGTGCTCAATGTGACTCCCTTAATACATCATCTCCCACGTTTCAGAATCACTGCGATAAGCTGGGCGAGGTCAGGCCCACGACTTGGTTCAGGCTGCGGCAGCTCAGCTCTCCGTGGATATGAGGGGTGGATATAGGACGCATTCCTCTCCACTTCACTTTCTTGCTGCAGCGCTTTAAAGTTGGTGACTTGCCAGGTAGCGCTCAACATGTTTCTTCTTGTTCGTCTCCCTCTCTCCCCATAGCTATGGCAGGCTCACCTTGAAGAAGTGTCTCCTCTGCAGAGTGGCAGGTGTACGGTCACAGGCAGCAGGCTGGTTTCAGCAGAACCAATCCTCCTGTGGGAAATGCTAAATGTTCTGGAAGTCTGATGACTTGGTAATGACTCTTCCCTGGGGTCTCTCATGCTTCCTTAAACTGGTATATCTGTGCACTCAAAGCATCAATATCTCTTGTGTGTGTGGGTGCACTGTTCAGGCCTTGTGTGTGTTTGTGTGTGTGTGTGTGTTTTGACATGACAGAGCTTGGTGGAGTAGCACTTAACGTCTTGCTACAAAGCAGCTGGTTGTTTACAGGTGCTACAGCCTGGACATGTGATGAGGAACTGAAGATGACCTATTTGTCCTACACAGCTCTGTATGGACTGATAACAATAATAAATCGATTCAATAGGAAAACAGATCAGCTCAAGTGTGTCTGCACAATCTTATTTCCCTCACAGATTCTAAGAGAGAGACGTCTAATGGGGAGCTTTCAAGCGTGTTGCACTGTGGAAGTGATGAGGCCATAACGATTAGAGGACCTTTAAAATATAAAGCACTATCGCATGCAGAGTGTGTTCGCCGTACTTTCCTTCTTCCTTTTTTATTTCACGGTCATCTGTTGGACTGGCTAAGGACCAAGCTGTTGTGTGTGTTAGTAAATGCTCAATTCTTAGGTCCCGGAAGGTGAGTCTTATCAGCAGCGCATGCGATGGTGTCAGTAGCCAAGACCCAGACCCTGCTATTGTGCCGCTGCCTGAGCCGGAGTGACGGATGACAGCGCCTTCTCACTGGAGGAAATGAGGAGGCCAGGGGCGAGCCCGGGGCCAGAGTTTTTACCAAAAACCCTGCTCTCAGCCACTTACCTTCGGCTCCAAGAGTACTAAATATTCAACGAAGGCGGACCCAAGGCGATAGCTATAGTTGCATGTTGCAGCAGCTCCCCAGGGGCTCATTGTGTTGATGAGGTTATAGGAAAAAAAACCTCTAATTAGGTTGGTTGTTTGAAAGATTGTGAGAGGGTGACGGTGTTTGAAAATCAAAGCTCTGTTCTGAGTATCAAGCATCGAATGTGGAGATCATGAGAGGAGGAAGTGAGTTCAGGCCAGTCTGGGTCTCCTGCCCTTTGGCCTCCCCTGGGTCTCATAAATTAGCCCGCTGTAATTCTCTCCCAGACGGCCTTGCCCCAGCAGGTGTGTGTTTGTATACATGAGTGCTAACAGGGGATGTAAGGGCTGTAATGTCCATGATCTACGGTGTTGGGAATGTTGTTCAGGAGGAAACATGCAAAATATGCTTATCCTCCCGGCTGCCACACCGGCCATGTAGATAAAGACTCTGTGGGGAGGCGGGCTCTCTCTGAGTAGGATGTGTGGGCCGTTGACGTTCCCTCTCGCTGTGACTCTATGTTGGCCGGAACGGTTAAATAAATATTCATAATATCAAAGGTTGAATCAAGTTCATCTTGGTTCTGCAGGGACTTTGTCCGACTTGCTCCGGCCATAATGACTCTCTTGGGGAAGACAATGTTGCTAATGTAAAAGCATCCTGGCTTTAAGAGGTAAACATCCTTGAGAGAAAATGCTATAATCTCCCCGGCAACTATGGTTGTAGCTTTATCACTGTGACAGTTTGTTTTGGCAAAACTCTGCCTCCTTATGAATGAAGTTTAATTTTTGTAAACAGTTGCTTTATAAAATCCCAAGCAATGCAGTTCCAGTGTCCTGCATTGCTATTGTGTTGATAACAACAATGGCTGTTACTAATGCTGCCGTTCAGATTGAACGTCACAGAGACTGTCCTTCAGCTGGACGACTTTGCTCCGAGCCCCATCCGCTCTCATAAAGATACTGAGCCCCTCTGTTCTGTAGCTGACCCTGACCTCTGACCTCACAGTGACCAGAGGAATAAAATCAGAAAACCTCCCAGTGTGGATTCATTAAATATCACAGGTTTCTTGTCACCAATCAATTTTATGGCAATTTGCTTTATGTAGACAAAAAGAGCAATCAGCTATAGGGTAAAAATTCAGACATGACTCATCCACTTCCTGTCTTTGTTTCTTAGCATGCATATTTGTATAAAGCTGCGGGCTGGAGAGCCTGAGTTGGCCAAAAGACGGCATTAGTCAATTTGAATAGCTCCACTGCAGAAATTGAGGTGAAGGCCAAATCTTTGACACTTTGATAGTCATTCTCATCCTTCTAAAAAGATGATCAAAGTTAAATCTTAGATTTAATATGTGAAAGCAAACATAGATTCTACAGTTTCCTAAAATATAGTTACAATTTTTTTTAGCCTCGGCAGGGAGGTCATGTTTGTGCGTTTGTTTGTTTGCCAGCAGGATGACACAGATAACTCAACATGTATTCACACAAATCTGTGTGAGGATGGGATATGGGATTAAATTAAATTATGGAACCCGACAGTTTCTTCAACATCTGAAGGTGTTGTATTTTCTGACAATGATTTCTGAGGGAATAATTCATGGATCCTTGGTGACAAAAATGTCCGGCATACTTCAGGGGCCTGATATTTATTAGTCTGTGTAATTTGGTGCAGATCCAAATACAAAATCTGTTTCTATTAGATTTATATGTGGTTTCATGGGAGGTTAGGTTTTTTAAACTGAGATCATGCAGATTCTGAAGTGAATCAACTGTTTAGTGTATCTCCAATAATCTTTAATAATTATGTCCGAATGAACATAACAGATTTGATGCAGAATTTAAGGAACCTTCTGGCCTCAAATTGTTATTATTTAAAGACCTATTGAGTAAATGATAGCCTCGTGTCTGTATAATAAATAGCAGCCTGCAGGCATGTGAGCGTATGGCTCAAATGACTCAAAGACAGTAGGAAACAGAAACTCTGGCTCAGTCCCAAAGTGCTGAGCCACCAAGCTGCACCTCCAACACTCTCTAATTATCACAGGAAGGTGTTTGAAAGTTTACTTTTTGTTTAGATTAAAGAGATTAGTGATCTTAAAGCTCCATTGTGTAAGATTTAGGTGAAAGGGAACTATTGGCAGAACTTTAACTTTAAGAGATGCAGGTAAATTTTGTTACACTTGGACAGAGCTACTGTCTGGTCTTAGATTGTCATAATCTCACCAGCTAAACTGTATAGTTTCATATTTATCGTACAGATGCTAGTACAAACATGAGCGGGGTGTCGATCATCTCAAAGTCAGAAAACAAAGGAGCTTATCCTACAATGTTGAGGTATATTCCCTGATTTTCCATGAGCGGCACGTGTAGTGACACTGACAGGATTCCTCTGACATCTGAGAAAACCTTTTCAGAACACGTGTTTTGACTAAACGTGGGTCTGGACAAACATATTGTGTTAAGTTTTTCAACAATGGAAACAGTGTGGTTCCAACGTAAACACTCATGTATTTGCACATCTAAAATATAAATAGCCAAGGGCATATTTCTGATGGGATTTCGGAGAATTAGCATTTTCCAAAGTGTCATTTGAATACCCTAATCCAAGCAACTCGTTATACTCAGATCTTTAGATATCACATTTACTTTATATTTACAAAGTATCATTTGGCACACACACAAGTATGTATACACACACACACACACACTTGCACAGACATACAAGAAAGAATACACTGGTCGGAATGTAGACAGACGCACACAGGGCCGGTGTGTGTTATTGCATGCATGCTCCATCAGTCATTGGACTACACAAGGAGCAACAGGGAGGTCCTGTGCACACTGTTGTTGCTGTGTCTAGTCCCTTGTTAGAGAATTGATGACACTGTCTTTAGAAAACAAACACGGCGGGAAGCTAAAAAGGTGGTCACTCACCACAGCTCTCTGACCCAGAGACACAGAGGCCATCGTAACATGTGAGCAACATTGCAGCGTCCCGCATGGAATGTGCTCCACTGTGTGTGTGTGTGTGTGTGTGTGTGTGTGTGTGTGTGT